AACAAGACTGCGAGCTGGAGTGGAGCCCAGAAACCTTCCCGCTAGATCATCTGATCTGGGCGGGGAGAGGGACGGAAAAAGTCCCTTCATGTCAGCCGCCTCCTGGATTATGCCGGGCAGCTCCAGAGGAGGGCACCGGTGGCTGGGAGCGGCTGGGAGCGGTGTGGTCGCCAATGCGAAACAAGGTGATGTGGGGGAGACGTTGTGTGTTCAGGTGCATTAAAGTCGAAATGTCTTTAAAACCCCACGCCTTATTGTCCTCAAGCTTTGTGAAAAACATCGTTTAGATGAGTAGTGTTGACCACAAGTAAAAAAGTCTAGTGTTGATGTTTTCTATTTCTCTATAAACACTATAGCGTCGACCTGACGCTCTGTATTAAAGTGTATTAAAGTTAAAATGTATTTAAAACCCACAGCTGAATTTACACAAACTTGGTGAGAAACATGTTTTAAATGTGTGGAATTAAAGGAAATCTAGGTGAAATGTTGCTTTATTTTACACTAGTGTAGACTTTTTTTTACATGTGCATGCACACACACCCGCACACACACTTACACATATCATTGTGCCCCCCCACACACACACAGACACACACATTATGGATGCTTCTGACGCCCTTGATAGTTTCCAAATCAGACCTGAAATCAACCAAATAACTGTGATAACAGGCTGACCCCCCCCCCCATTTTTTTATTAAGCTTTTACTGCTTTTGTAAGAAAATCAGTTTGACATGAGTTAAAAACGTATTTCAAAGAAGGGAAGATATAAGACATACCTCGAGAATGTTTATGGATCTAATCGGAGGACATTGACTGATTTTCCATTTTTATCAGAACTCTTACAGTGACCTCGAGAGCATCTTTGAACATGCTAACCGCTCTCGGCTCCCCCCCCCCCCCCCCAAGAATGTCTATGTCACTATGTCCTTGTTTGTGCGAGGTGTTTTTTTAATATTAGAGGTTTTTTTTTTCTCGGGTAGGAAAAAAAAGTCTGATAGGAATTTTTTTCGCCTCTGTCAGGATTTTCTAGGCAGAAGCGAACCCAGTAGTGCAGACAGGGACTCAACTCAGCAGAATACAAAAATAGGTATTTAATGATAAAATAAAGATACAAAATAACAGGCTGACGGGGCAGCAAAACTTACATGAACAGGAACATAAGGCACGAGAAACTCAGGAGGACTCAGGGGACTCGGAAGACTCAGGGAACTCGGAAGACCCAGGGGAACACAGGAGACCCAATGAGTACGACGTGACAACGAACAAGACTGACAGACGGCTTATATACAGGGACAAGACGAGACGTGATTACGAACAGCTGGGACAAGACAAGGGTGGCACTAATTGAACTAACGAGAGAGCACTAGAGAACACAGACACAAACCGGGCCACAAAAAGGTACCATCCTTACAGTACCCCCCCTCAAGGACGCCCCCAGGCGTCCCCCCAAAAAAAACCCTCCCGAAGGACTTGGGTGGGTGGAGGGTGGCACTGCAAGGGTGGAGGGCCCAAGGATAACACTAGGAAGACACCAAAGACCTGAAAAAAACTAAGGCTAACCACAAGGAGGGAACACAAAGGATCTGGACGGTCAAGGGACAGTCCCTAGGAGTCATTGTTCCGGCGGGCGGCCGGGAGGCCGTCCATCAAGGCGGGCCGGGGGGGGCGGCCAGGAGGCCGTCCAATACATAGGACCAGAGAGACCGCGGCAGGCGGCGATTAGGACTTGGAGACCGCGGCAGGCAGCGATGAGGACTTGGAGGCCGCAGCATGCGTCATGGAGTCCTGGGGAGCTGCAGCATGTGTCATGGAGGCCTGGGGCGCTGCAGCAGATGACGGAGAGGCCCGGAGCGCTGCAGCAGACGACGGATAGGCCTGGAGTGCTGCAGCAGACGACGGAGAGGCCTGGAGCGCTGCAGCAGACGACGG